ATATATATATATATCACATTTTAAAAATTAAAATAGTAATATATATTTTGTGATTTGAAAAAAGATTCACATATATATCATTTACTTTTTTTAATTTATAGAACTTAACTTTTTCATACAACAACAACAACAAGGCCTTATTCTATTATGCCAGAGAAAGTAGTCGACCCAACTTGACAAAAGAATCCTTATCAACAGTCATAGATTGCGCGTCCAAGTTAACCTTGTAAATACGATATAAAGAGCTGTGTATAATAGGATACATATAAAGAGCTGTGTTTTATCAATTATATGATATGTTTCACAACTAAATATTAAGTCACTGGGGAACATATGAGTTAGAACAGTGATCATATTTTAATGGTGACATTCTGCGGTGAATCACCTAGTTAGAGGATTTTGGTCATAACCACTATTTTATGATTTTATTTGGCTTCAATACCACAAGAAAAAAAAAAGATAACCTTATTGGCATAAAATTATTTGGGAGTGATTATAGGAGTTCACTCAATATGGCTATGGCTCATCTTTGTGAGCTTAAGTCAATTTGAATCTAGCTCGTTAATTTTTTAAGGTGACTTTTTTTTAATTTGCATTTAAAATGTAGAAGTCTTAACTCTCTTTAAATGAACCCCTTCAGTTGATATTTTCTATCAACACTGTCATTATTGAGGATTAAATTACCCTACTTTGATATTTCAAACATCATAAACTCTGCTCGTTTGTAGTAGATTATCAGATCTGACAGGCTCAGTTTTGTCAACTCGAATTTATTAAAAGAATTATTTGTGTGCATTATTTAATGATTTTGAATTTAATTCTTGTATGACAACTTTTTTATGGATTTTAAATCATTTGCGTGTTTCTAAAGATAAATTTCGCTTGATTTAAAAGTTAACTCATATCTGCTAAACATTCTCAAATATCTAGCTATGGCCCTTGGTGCATTGGTCGGAGCATATTTTGGTTATTTTAGCTTTAAGTCTTTAATATGGTCTTTTGTCAGCTTGTATTTGTTACGGATTTGTCTGTAATTAGATAAAAAAAAGGCTTGTTTTACATGCAATATTTTATAAAAATTATCATTTTCAAGCCTCTTTTATTCTAGTAGGCCTCACTGGGACCTTTTCAATTTCTATAAATAGGAATCCTCCCTATTCATTTCATTACATTCAATTGAGAGTTTGTTCATTTGAGAGTTTTGTGTTTTAAAGGTGGTTTAAGTAGAATTAAGAATTTGAGCTATTAAATTTGTTCCAAGTCCCCTTGTGAGTTCACTTTGTGCTCTATTTCTAGTATTTTTTTTTTATTATTTGTGTACTAATATTTTTTCTTTATTTATGTACTACTTTTTTTTATTGTTACTCCTCTCTTTTTCTTAGTTTTTTTGTCTTCCCATTTTTTAGTGGTTTTTATTTGTTCAAAAAAATTATTTTGAGTTAAAATCTTTTATTCATATATGTCACTAAAAATTTGACAGTATCATAAGTACGAGTGGAGAGAACAGTCATAAATTTCTTTTGTACTTTTAGTTATTGTTCTTCATTTCTAATTTTTTTCTCTCGTTTATATTTGAATGGATTTATCCTAATCCCAAATAATTCAATTTTGCTAAAAGACAAAGAGCCACTAATAGAATAAACTTGCTTGCAACAACCAAGCAAACTTAGAACTAATGTAATTAGTGCCTTGATAATTGTGGAATGTGTGTTTTTAATTTCTTCAAGTCAATTATTATCTACAACTAGTAGATTATTTGTTTACTTTTAATACAAGTGGAAGTCACTCTTATGAGAGCTAGTCACAGGTGCTCCTGTTAGATCTGATTCGCTATGCGTCGCCTTTAAATTGTACATCATTGACCGAGCATTAACATATCATGGCATATAATCTTATTACATATTATTAACAGAAAATTTAAGATTTTCTTAAAATTTTATCTTTTCAATCAAAATAAAAATTATATACATATTTCTAAAATTTATATCATATTTTTTTCTTAAAATTTTCCTCCAACACAATTCAAAATTATAGTGAAATATTATATAACTTTTTTCATAAACAATTGTATTAATTTTCAGAGCTTTATTTGTTGTTTTCAAATAAATATTATTTAAAATTCCCCCGCAATCATTAGTCTGGGTGGTGTAGTTGGTCATCACGCTAGTCTCACACACTAGAGGTCCCCGGTTCGAGCCCGGGCTCAGACAGTAATTGTTGAAAGCGCATTTTACACGTATTTTCCGGAAATTTTAAATAATAAATGAGTGTTAGTGAGACCTTAAGAGCGTGAATGCGTTAAGAATTACAGATAATTATAATACGTTATATTATAAACAATAGTAATTAAATGCTTAAAATGGTAAACAGTTAATAAGTTTTGCATTATGGTTCATGCGTCAAATTCAAATTATTACACATCGCAGAATAACACACGAAATTAAGGGTCTGTTTGAGCCAGTTTATTAAATAATCTGTTGATAAATTAGATGTGATTGTTATTACAATTTATTTTTTTAAATGTCAGACCGCCACCAGAAATTTGTCACCACACCTAGTAGATAGGTGCGGTGTGAAAGTGCTGAACACAGCTTATCCAAACAGGTCAGGTGCACCAAATAAGCTGCCTCAAATGTATCCTAAATTAAGTGATTAGCATTTGGCAGAACTTGCTAAATAAAAAATTTTAAAATGTTTTATTTGTTTACGGGGAAGAAATAATCATTTAATTGATAACAAACCTGCAAAAAAAAACTATAATAAAAATAATTGGCCAAAGTTGAACAAATTAACCTTAGCATCTCATCAAAAGCATTGGAGAATTTTTTATCCTTAACGTTGTTCATAAGTCGCACAACTGTGTACGAAAATGTTGTATATGAAGATCAGTTGAATTCAAATTCCCATTCAAGAGAAGGATGTGGAGAAGATTTGGGATAATCGATTTATCTGAGATCTCGTCGATAACTGTAATTTTTAGATCAGGGAGACGATAGGGTAGGGATGAAATAACGAAAGTGAAAGGAAGGTATATGTGAGAGAAGTAATGTAGTGAGTTCCAGTGAATGTGATTCGTGCTTTTCGACGATAATTTTGACTTTTCTATTAATCGAACATCCGATCACAATAAAAAAAGTCTTGATCAATTCGATTTGAAATGTTGCACAACTGGAGTTTCGATAGAATTATCTTTAAATAATTATTTCAAACAGAATCATAATGGAAATATTTTTATGACTTTTAAGTTCAATGAAAATCATTGGAATAAAAAACTCTTGCAAATGAGGTCGTAATGCTTTCCCTTCAATTATTTCACATTTTAAAATAACAAAACATTTCATTGTGAGCATCATTGCATTTTGTGATGTTCTAATGAATTGCAATAATAAAGAACCTTTGACATCAAATTTTGAGGTGTTATAAACTATTTTATGGCTTTTGTATAGTTAGGTTAACTATTTAATACATTTTCTCAGCTAATATTCCAGTGTTATTTAGCATGATCCTTACAAGCACTTTTTTATTTATTAGCAACACAAAGTTCAAAAGTAGTGTCACCAGATTTGTCATTCTCATCTATAAATTTTCAAACTTACAATTTTCATTACAAAGAACCCTAAAAATGATTATTCATGATTTTAAGATAAGTTTAGTTGCTTGATTGAGTGTTTTAATTTTGTTGCATAGAATTTCTAAAAATAATTGGCAAAATCGTAAGGGGTCAAAACTAAATTTGATAAATGTTTTACAACGTTGTAAAAAATATGCTATAAAGAAAGGTGATTTGAATTAATAAATCTTAGGAGTAAATCTCCAAATTTCAATATTCTAGGGGCAACGTATGTCAACCCTCTTAAATAATATATTATCTTAACTTGGCCCATGATCTAATCAGCGTGTATCATATGCTTATGATAAAAAATAGTGTCATCACCTCGAAAGGGGGGATATTTAGGACTCTTGTGTGCAAGAAATCAGAAGCCTCCACATTTTATGTCATTTGATGTCACTCAGAACTTTAAATTGCCCTCATGTCTCTAAATACCTTCCTACATGCTTAGTAACAAAAAGAGGAGGATGATGGAAAAACATGAATATCTAAAGCCTTTGAGCTTATTGGTGTGTGAACTAGTGTACGCAAATGAGGAGCGAACGACACTCTTCTCCTTCTTTCTTCTACTTCCTTCCAAATCGGTGACAAAAAATAAACAAAGTAGAAATTTGTGTGTACCTTAAACATTTAACATTCTTCATAATAGCACCTCCCCCACAATCACCTCCACCACATTATGATGTAGATGAAAACTACATAGTTGAAGCACATATACACTAATCTTTCTATGTTACTTAGTGTGACCCCATATTCTATTTCGTAAAGATTGTAGGTTCCTTCATTGGAATCTTGACACTTATGCGCCTACTCCAATTTTACTTTCAAGAGACTACACAATTGGCAATCTTGGAGATCCAAGACTACCCAAGTCTCCATTGTCCTTTCCATGAGTATTCTTGAGCTTGAAAATCTAATGGGAAGGGATATCAACAAGCTTCCCACATGCAATCCTCCACTTCTCCTCCTTCCTTCCATGTCAATGCTTTACAATTTTGTATGCTATCTAAAAATGAGACATCGAGACAAAATCCTCTGCTCTCTATCTCTTCATTCTTTCCACTCAATCTTATTTGTGTTCATATCGAAGCAAATTGTACCTTTCACTTCACTTGGTTTAATTTTTCACTCTATTTGCATAAATAACTACTGTTTAGAACGATACCTATAATTTGCATGAAGAAACAAATTTGATAATAGTCAAAGAGTTTGCAAATTAAACCTTCTTAAAAAATAATTATAAACTTTCCGATTCAAAATCAACAATAAAAACTCCAATTAAAATAAACCGAATCATGATTCAATGCAAGCAAGTAGAGATCAACCATTCAAAGGATTTTTACATATCAATCCAAACTTAAAATTTTAAATTTCAACCCCTCAATTATCCAAAACTTCAAACTTTTAGGCGATTGAAATGAAGATTTTAAATTCAATGGGACGCGCCGTTGAGAAAAGAAACAAGCTTTTCCATTAACTCCCCAGCTCTGTAGCTCTCCGGCTTGCTGAGATGGAACACGTGGCCCTCTCCCTCCGTCTCCACCAATTCAACCAACCCTTCCCACCCGCTTCCCCTCAGCACCTCAAAATAAGCCTTCCCCTTCTCCCTCAGAAAATCTTTCTCCGCAAGAAACACCACCGCCCTCCGCCCGGCCATCCCCTTCAGCGCTCCTTCACTCTCAGCCGCCGGATTCAGCCTCGGGTCTCCCGTCCCTCCGATCGCCCCTGGGCACACCAAACGCCACAGCTTATCCCCCAACGTCCCCTTCTCCTCCTCCCCCGTCGAAAAATATGGGTGGATGGCCGCCGTACCTTCGACACGCACCCCTCCCTCCGCACCCGCCCGCACCGCCATTCTGTGGGCGATGTTCGCCCCTGCGCTGTCCCCTGACAGGTAAATACATGTTTGTGGGGCTGTTTAGCAGTTTAACTCAAGTAGAATTTAGTAAATATGGTAAATTATATATATTACTTATATATTTACATATCTAACACCTAATATTTAATAATTACATTATAGCACAAGCCTTAAAAATCTATACATGAAAAAATATATTTTATTTTTATAAATATTAATAATAGTTATATTTTTGATATAGCATCAATATTAGAGTATAATAAACGTAAATAAGACAGTTCAGATATTAAGTACGTAAATATAGAAAATTATGTGATATATATGTAAATGCCCCTAAAAAATAAAGATGTCTTATCATATAAACAAAAATCACAACTCTCATCAATAAAAAAAATCGTTTTTTCTCCTAATACAATCAAATTACTAAATTGTAAATAAGACAGTTCAGATATTATGTAAATATAGAAAATTATGTGATATATATGTAAATGCCCCTAAAAAATAAAGATCTTATCATCTAAACAAAAATCACAATTTTAATCAATTAAAAAAACCATTTTTTCTCCTAATACAATCAAATTACTAAATTGTAAATAAGATAGTTCAGAAATTATGTAAATATAGAAAATTATGTGATATATATGTAAATGCCCCTAAAAAATAAAGATGTTTTATCATATAAACAAAAATCACAATTTTCATCAATTAAAAAAACCATTTTTTCACCTAATACAATCAAATTACATGAATAATAATTTCATTTAATTACTTTATTATATTCATTATATTTTTCACTCCTCAATCACCTAAATATAGACTAAAATTACTTGATTTAGGCCCCAAAAAAATATAAATTTAATTTGAAGCTTGATAATATTATATATATATATATATATATATATATAATTCTTTTATTTCACATCAAAAATATCACTGTTAGAACTTTTAAAAAGTGAAATACATAATTTTCAATAACTTTCAACTAATAAACAAAGTTGTGATTGATCAGCTGTCAAAACTACAAAATCAATTCAAGAGATTCCAAATCACAACCGACCTGCGAGAAACACTCTGTTCAGATCCGCGTGAGCCGCGATCCATGGGTCAGACCCACCCACCGCCCACCGCAGCGCCGCCCAGGAGTCATCATAGGCAGCAGGGAGCGGGTGCTCGGGAGCCAGCCGGTACTCGACGGAAACAATAAGAACCCCTGCTCGACCGCATAAGGAATTGAGGTAGGGATGGTAAGTGGGGGAGAAGGCCGATTCGATGCAGAAAGCGCCGCCATGGAAGTAGACGAGGAGAGGAACCTTTGAAGACGGCGGCGATGGAAGTTGGGGAAGGTACAGCCGAGCGGAGACGGGAGCGGCGGGATCGATTACGACGTCTTTGGAGGCGACGCCGGTGATGGGATCGCTTGGGGAAGGGGGGAGAGTGGGGAGAACGGTGAGGCGCTCGATTCTGCCGCTTTTGTACAGGCGGATGAAGGGGAAGAACTCTAAGTCGATCTCGTCGATTGTGGAAGACATTGATGGCGATCGGCGAGCAGAGAATATCGATCGGAAATGGGGAGTAAGGGGGATTGAATGAAAGAAGAGGGGCGGCGAATGGTGATTTAAGAAGACGATGGAGTTTCGGCAGCGACCGTGCACGTGCGAGCAATTCCATTGTCTGCACGTGCAAGCTACTGGCTGGGGGGGTTGGGTGGGAGCAAGAATTTCATGTGAATTACGGAATCCAGTAATATTTCGTCATATATTGAGTCTACATCATAAACATTGTGCGCTAAACCGTTCCAATAACCTTTGCGGTTCTACATTAATAACCATCTCAAAACAACAACTATAAATCTCCAATAACGTCATAATAACCCTTCAATAATAGCGCGAAGAACCGATCAGATAAAACCGCGGTCCGGCTTGAATAACATCTGCAGAACAATTTCAATAACCACTCAATAATAACCCCCCCAATAACACTGTGTGGCGAACTGCCACAATAACCTTGCAATAAGCCCCCAATAATCCTGTAAGCCAGCTTTCATAACCCCTCAATAACGCTGAAACCTAATATTTATAATTGGATGATGACGAAGATGTGATTTGTATCAAGGAATTGAAAGCTTAGAAATTTACTAAATGATGCAGATTAGATGATGACGATGACGATTGTGTGGTTTGTACCAGGTAAGTGATGGCTAAACTTTATTCTTATTTAATCAACTGAAATTTAGTCATATGAATTAGTTTTTCTTTTTTTTCGAAGTTGAGCTTTAATGGAAATTATGTTAGAATTAGTGATTGGTAGTTAGTGCTTTAGGGTCTGTTTGGGGCAGCTGCAGCTTATCCAGCTTCTGCTGATAAGCAGCTGATCCTGATAAGCTGCTGATCAACAGTTGATCCGGATAAGCTGTCTGGCTGTTTGGTTTTAGCGTTTGGAAAACAACAGATTTACAGTTGTTTGTGGATAAATAACAATTTTGCCCCTGAACTGAATAAGCTGTTAAGTTGTTTGGTTTCTGCGGTTTGAGAAAAACTGATTTGTAACTGTTTGTGAAAAAATGATCATTTCAGTCATGCACAGTGGAGCAGTTTGCAACAATAATATAATGAGAATATATTTAATATATTAAAATCCAAAAAAAAACTACATAACAGTTCGAAGAAAAAAAAAAGATATACTACTCACTCAAGGGAGACTATCTACAAATCTATTAAAAAATCAAAAAACATAACAGAATTACAACTAATGGCAAAAAACCTCATATTTACATGTGACTGAGGTACACTGAATTAAACTATCAATTATCATCTCAAACTAAAATTACAAATAAAGAATCAATGTTTGTTCTGCTAACTTTAATTAATGTAGCTTTCACTTACATTTCCATCCCTTAGGAAAAGGATTAAGCTTCCATGAACAGGAAAATTTAAAACAATTTGAACTATTCCATGTCTTATCCTTCAAAGTTATCATAGATGATCGGAATTCAGAACTCTGAACTCAAAAGAGACTCGGAAAAACCTGCTAATTCTAGACCAGTTAGCAGATCTATCAGACAAGGAATTCATCATTCAACAATTAAAATGAAAACAATTCAATTCAAACCAGGTAAGTAAGAAGAAGAAGCCCATTAACAAGTAGAAAACAGAGGATTCAATGCACGACAACGAACTGAGGCTAGAAACCTCAAACTTAGGAAGTCGAAGACGACATCAAATGAAAGGGCGAGGGAGATCACCACTAGGGTTCATAGAACTCGTACGGTGTAATAGAAAAAGAGCAACAAAGTGATTTTGCAGGATCCAAGCAATGGTTTGCATAGCGGAGACTGATGTTGATATGTTCGAAGAAGTTGTAGTTCCTTTGTGACCGAACCCTTACGATGTTTGAGCAGACCGGCATGAGGGGTTCATAGAACTCGTACGGGGTAATAGAAAAAGAGCAACGGAGTGATTCCGCAGGATCCAAGCAATGGTTTGCAGAGCGGAGACCGATGTTCATATGTACGAAGAAGTTGTAGTTCCTTCGTGACTGAACTCTTGCGATGTTGGAGCAGACCGACATGAGGTACGACGCGGGGACTGCTTCACTACCCCGCGATCGACTTCTTGTTAAAACAGAAAACACAGTTTTCAGATAATCACCTGAAACGTGCTAAACAAACAGTGAGGTGACGTTTTGAAAATGCCGCCCGCACTTATAAGCTGCCCCAAACGGGCCCTTAGTCTCATAGATAGAAATTGGGCTATGAAGTTAGCTTGGGGGTCATTAAGTGCTCAAAAATCGATTCAACTTTTGGCCTGAATCGAACTAAAGCCGAGCTATGAGCAGATACTTTAGATTGAACTTTTCTCAAGCCAATTTCTAGATTTCAAGCAGACCCCTGCTAGATTTGAAATCAGGTCATTAATAACTTTAGTATGAGAAAAAAAACTCTCAACCAACTCATCTACAAGTCTCATACCTCATACAACTTAGTTTAAAATCAATGATTATATATATATATATATATATATATATATATATTCAATTCATTGATGTATAGGTATTTGTATTTTTGTTTTTATAATAAATTAACTTATTTTTTAGAAATATTTAAAATAAAATTTTAAATATTTTAATTATTTTTTAAAAATCATTATAAGTAATAAATTAATTTCATTTTAAATTAAAATATAAACAAGATTGTAAATGTTAAAACCAAATTAATAAATGCAAATGAATAGATGCATTGTTTGTAAATACTAATACCAAATTCGATCTAAACATGTTCACAAACAAAAATAAACATATTTGGATTGATAAGCGGAAGCGAGATAGGATCATACATACCTCCAGCTATAACTTATACAAGTAGAATCGACACTCACAATTAACACATCAAATTTTCTGTTATAGATTTGTTATAGATCTTCTAAGTTTTTCTCACTCACAACTGTTGACCTCACTTTTGGTTGAGGTCTAGAAAACTTCTTTAGTAGCCTAGGTCTAGCCATAGGACTTTCCTATTGACTAGTCTTAGAAAACTAGAAAAG